CGCAAAGGGCAAGGGCGAGCACCGAAAGGGCGCGCAAAGGAGGACCACACGCACTGCAGCGGATAAAGTCGAAGGGGGTGGACTGGTGCCGGCAGTAGTAGTTCGTCTTCTCGAACTCGTAGTTCTCCCAGCCGTTCGTCATGGTGGCGCGTGCGGATGGGGGGAGGGGGGGGGCAGGGGGCAAGGAAAGGGTCCAGGCGAGGGAAAAGGGCAGAAGTAGCAGGGGGCAAGACGCGTCTCAGGGGGGGGGGGGGAGAGAGAGAGAGAGAGAGAGGCTCTTGCCGATCGGCCGGCCCCCGGCCCAATCGGCGGGCGCCCTTATGTCCCAGCCCCGGGGCACGTCGCGGGGACATCTCCGCCCTCCGGCCCTGGCTGCCCGCCGCAAAGTGCACCCCCACCCGCACACACACACACACCGCGAAAGATCCGGCGCGATCTGCGCCGCCGGAGAACACGTGGCCTGCCCTGCGCGGTAATCTGGTTTATTGGTCCCCAGGCCCCTGTGCAGAAAGGCGGCCCACGAGGCCCACAATCAAAAATGATCGGGAACACCGGCGGCGGCGGTGGCGACGACGGCAGGCACCTCCCCCCCCCCCCCCCCCCCCCGGCCCTCTCAGAAGGTGATGTGCCACGGGCGGTTGAGGCTCAAGTTCACCTCGATCGACCGGCGCTCCTTGCCGAGGACGGTCACGCGGCGCACCAAAGCCGGGACCGGGAAGTCGAAGACCCCGGAGCAGTGGAGAGACACGGTCCCGGTGCTCGGGTTCGACTGGGCCACCAGCTCCACACGGGTGTTCCGGCCCGGGGGCAGGGACTCGCCGTCGTCGTGGAAGAGGCTGCCCCGGGCATTTCCCTGCGCGTCCAGGGCCACCAGCAGCTCGTACTCGGAGTTGATGACGTCCTCCAGCACCAGGGCCCCCTCGCTCTTGAGCAGGGGGATGATGGCCCCGCCACGCACGTGCACCGGGCTCACATTCCGCGGGGCCTTGACCATGAGCCATGCCCCGGTGGACGAGCTGGTGGTCACCTGGCCCGAGTGGAAGTCGTACCATACCCCGGCCGGGAAGTAGCCGAGCACCGACTCGGCGCCGGGCTCCAGCACCGGCGTGAAGAGGAGGGACGACCTGCGATGGGCCGGTCGGGAATATGCCCGGGCGAGGGGCGAGGAAGGTGTCAGCATCCAGGTCCGAAGGGATGGGAGGAGGGCGCAGGGTGGCGAGCGGGCGAGCGAGCGAGCGAGCGAGCGAGCGAGGGCCCGCGACAAGGCGCCAAGGCAGCCCTCGTCCGTCAAGGGCGCGTGCGCCGGGCCAGCGCAAAGGGGCGGCCCACGCACCCGAGCATAAACTGCTTGTCAATGGCATGGGTTTCCGGATCGTGGGGGAACTCCAGGAAGAGGGCACGCATGACCGGGTCACCGGTGCGATGTGCGCGCTCAAAGAGCGTGTAGTACACCGAGAACAGGGAGTACCGCAGGGCGATCGACTGCCGGGCCGACTCGGCCACCCACTCCCACAGGTACGGCTCCTGCGAGGCGTTGTTGATGGCATTGTGATTGCTGTCGATGGCGGGCGAATGGACCGGGGCCATGGAGGGAGGGTATGTGTGCCCATAAATGGGTGTAGGTAGTGGTGTAAGTGTGTGTGTGTGTGGGGGGGGGGGGGGGGGGGGGCGGGGGGCGGGGGCGGGGGGTCGGGAAGGGGGGTTTTTCGTGGGGCCCGCCTGCGGGGGGGGGGACAGAAAGAGCGAGTGCGCGAACAACGTGGGTCACAAATGGAAAGGGAGACAAGCCGACTACTTGCTTGGCCGGGGGGGCGGGCTGGTGCTGGGCACCGAGGGGACCGGCACTATGGGGATAGACTCCAGGGGATTCTCGACGATTTCCTCGCCCTTCTCCTTCTGGAGCTGGCTCAGGCGCCGAGTGCGGGAGATGGGCGGCGGGTCGTCCAGCTTCAGCAGCGAGCACTTCCGGACCAGGGTGCAAATGGTGCCATTGGGAACCGAGTGCTCGCCGTAGCGGAGGATTTCCGAAAAGTTGACCGTCCGGAAGTCGCACGTCATCGACAGGGCATTGTGGTCGCGGAGGTACTGGACAAAGATCTCCGGCTCCAGGAGGACCTTGTCGCCCTCATTGGTGAAGACGTAGCGCTCGGGCTCCGGCCAGTCGAGCTCTGCGCCGTGCCCAGCAGCAGGTCAGTAGCCGAGAGGAGACGGGCGAGGGGGG